TCTCCTCAACTAGAAATTCATCCATCTTCTCCACAACCTGAACTTTTTCAACCAGAAGTTCAAACTTCTCAGACTCAACCTTCTGACTCCTGTGAACCAGAACCTCATAACGATCAAACAAACCAAACTGTTGATTCTGATACCATTCCCATTCCTGGAATCACTGAACCTCTGGCTATCCGTATGCCCCTAACCATTCTGGATATTCCCCAAATTCCCTCTTCACTAGAATCAACTCCACCAAACTCCATAACTAGTCCAATAATAATTCCAGACTCTCCCACTCCCTCACCAAAGAACAATCCAGATGACAACATCAAGACTGTCATTGACTTAACAGTCTTTGAACGTCTTGCTGCCATAACCCACAAAACAGCTATTCCAAAACCAAAACCATCTGAACCCTCTCCAGATGTTGGTACCAGCTTATTGATATTTGAAACAGAAGTACAGAAGTGGATCACTTCTCTGAAGCAATCTAGTCTTGAGCTGATTGATCCTGCTACTTCAGACTACCTTTGGACAAGTTTCAGAAGATGGGTATGTTCTGAAACTCGTAAGATGCAAGAAAAGAGTTACGGACAAGTTCAACAGAACTTCAATAATCTGCTGAAAGTAATTGAAGATCAAGTTCTGAGCCAGCTGCTCAAGGAAGAAGTTCTCCCTCTGGACAATGCTCCCTGGTCTAAACATCGTCCAGCATACAAAGTTCAACCAGAGTCAGAAGATCTCAATCTGACTGATACTCCAGAGCAGATGATTCCTGCTGAAGAACTGGGTCAAAAAGAGGATATTGCAGAAAGCTCTGAGAAGCATCCAGTTACTGAAGATTCTTAAGCTTCCTCCCTTGATAGGCAGACTCTAGAAGACCTAAAAAGATCTGATCTTTTGATGAAGGAAAGAATGGATAAACAGGACGATAAAATTGATGCAATCACGAGCATGTTAACCCAGCAACAGGAAACCAACATTCAGATCAAGAGCATGTTGGAAGCTTTGTTCACACGTCTTCCTCCTCCCTCTTAGAATTTCCTCGTTTTTAAAACATGTTTATCTGTAATATTCTTACATTGTTCTGAACTTTTCGTTGATTCTGGTTTTTAATATAAACGCATTTTGACTCTGATTGTATGTTCTTTTTGATAACTGACAAAAGGGGGGAGAAAGAATGATATATTTTTCAATAACGGATTACTGAGACATAAGTCTCAAACATTCTGATCTATTTAAACTTCTCTCTTCTGAAAAGCTTGAACAGGTACAAAACTCTGATGAAAGATACAGTAAGGTTCTGATGCTTAAAGACTCATGGAATTAAAGGGAAGTAATCAACTCAGGGGGAGTTTCTCTTCTTAATTATATACTTTTTATTCTTTATTCTTAATTGAAAAATCTGGTTTTTGTCATCATCAAAAAGGGGGAGATTGTTAGAACATAGTTTGATTCTACAATTCCTGATTAGAGTTTTGATGATAACAAAATACAAAGAATAAATAAATTCAAAGATATATATATATATATATATATATATATATATATATATATATATAAAACAAATATGCTTCTTAAAATTATGTTTTGTATATACAGAAGTTCTGATGGAATCAGCATCAGAAGATCAGTAATATATGCTACACGCTGAAGCTACCAGATTATACGCTGAAGTTTGATGACCAGAATCTGCGCATAAACAAATACACTCTGACTCTGATCAAAGATCCTTACCAAGTCATCAACACTCTGAAGCATTATCATAAGTTAAAGCAAAGAAGACTCTGAAGCGTTATTAAGTATTCAAGACATAATTAAATGCTAACGGCTCTCTTCAGACAAGATCTTCTTCAATAGGAAAGTGCGTTATTATCATTAAACTGGCTTTATGGACAACGTATCTTTTCCTTGTCTATATAAACAAGTCTGTTGGAGAAAAGATGCACGCATGCACTCACATAATTTGCCAAGCCTTCAAAACCACGCTTATACAAACGCTTTAGCAAATTCAGTTTATTCTAAGCTTAAGTTGTGTAATTATCACAGTTGTGATATATTGTTTTGTTAGAAAATGTTAACATATCCTTGTTCAAATATTTGTAAAAGATTTCCTTGAGATAAACCGGTTTGTGGTTGTACTCAAGAAGACTTTAACAGTTGTTAAAGTAGCTATTGTAATCCTTTGAAAATAGTGGATTAAGACCTTGTTGGAGAGAGGAGAAATCACCTTGACGGATGGACTGGAGTAGTTTGAGATCAAACGAACCAGGATAAAAATACTATGTTGTCAAAGCATTTGTTTTAAGTTTTACAATTCAACCCCCCTTCTTGTGTTTTTCACATCTTCAGAAAGGAGTCAGATCAAAAGACAACTGTTACTTATGGGAGTCTGAGAACACTAACTACTCTTCTGTGTGCTCTATAGCCGAAAAAGAAAAGGAAGTGAAACTGTGGCACCAAAAACTTGGTCATTTACATCTTAGAGGGATGAAAAAGATCATATCCATGGAGGATGTCAGAGGGATTCCAAGGCTTCAGATTGATGAAGGGAGAGTCTGTGGTGAATGTCAGGTTGGAAAGCAAACTAGAATGTCACATCCAAAGACAAGACATTTGACCACCTCTAAGGCGCTAGAACTTCTACATATGGATCTGATGGGTCCCATGCAGGTGGAAAGTCTTGGTGGAAAGAGATATGCCTATGTTGTTGTGGATGATTTTTCCATATTCACCTGGATAAACTTCATTAGGGAAAAGTCTGATGTATTTGATGTTTTTAAAGAATTGTGCAAAAGAATTCAAAGAGAAAAAGAAGGATGCATTGTCAGAATCAGAAGAGATCATGGTAAGGAATTTGAAAATAGTAAGTTTGATGAGTTCTGTTCCTCAGAAGGAATTAATCATGAGTTCTCTTCACCTATAACTCCTCAACAAAATAGAGTTGTGGAAAGGAAAAACATGACTATACAGGAATCTGCCAGAGCAATGATACATGCCAAGAAGCTTCCTATTCATTTTTGGGCTGAAGCTATGAATACAACCTGTTATGTCCACAACAGGGTCACCTTGAGAAAGGGAACATCACCCACCCTTTATGAACTATGGAAAGGAAGAAATCCTACAGTGAAGTACTTCCATGTCTTTGGAAGCAAATGCTATATTCTGACAGATCGTGAACAAAGGAGAAAGATGGACCCTAAAAGTGATGAAGGAATATTCCTAGGATACTCTACCAACAGCAGAGCATATAGGGTGTTCAATTCCAAGACCAAAGTTATGATGGAGTCTATAAATGTCATAATTGATGATCACCATGAGAAAACAAATTTCCCATATGATGTTGAGACATTCTTTAAGACTTCAACACAAGTGTCTAAAAAGGATGATGTGCCTAATCCTACTCCATCAGAGTCTGAATCAAAGGAAGCTAACAAATATCCTTCCATCAGAATTCAGAAAGATCATCCTAAGGAACTCATCATAGGAGATCCTAACAGTGGAGTCACTACAAGATCTAGAGAAATCATCACAAACTCTTGTTTTGTGTCTAAGATTGAACCAAAAATATTAAAGAGGCTTTGAATGATGAATACTGGATTGGAGCAATGCAAGATGAATTGAACCAATTCAAGCAACATGAAGTATGGGAGTTAGTTCCTAGACCAGAAGGAACAAACATCATTGGCACAAAGTGGATCTACAAGAACAAGTCATATGCTGAAGGAGTTGTCACCAGGAATAAGGCAAGGCTTGTTGCTCAAGGATACACTCAAGTTGAAGGGGTTGATTTTGATGAGACTTTTGCTCCTGTAGCCAGACTGGAATCAATCAGACTTCTCTTGGGAGTTGCTTGTCTCTTTAAGTTCAAGCTGTTTCAGATGGATGTGAAGAGTGCCTTCCTAAATGGGTACTTAAATGAGGAAGTGTATGTGGAACAGCCTAAAGGATTTGTGGATCCAAATTGTCCTGTTCATGTCTACAAATTGAGGAAAGCATTATATGGCCTAAAACAAGCTCCTAGAGCTTGGTATGAAAGGTTGACAAAGTTCCTCACTGACAAAGGATACAGGAAAGGAGGTTTGGATAAAACTCTTTTTGTCAAGGATGAAGGAGGAAATATAATGGTAGCTCAAGTTTATGTTGATGACATAGTGTTTGGAGGAATGTCAGATAAAATGGTTAAACATTTTGCTAACCAGATGCAAGCTGGATTTGAAATGAGCCTCATGGGAGAATTGACCTACTTTCTTAGACTACAAGTCACACAGATGGAAGACTCAATTTTTCTGTCTCAAAGCAAGTATGCAAAGAACACTACAAGAAAATTGGCAGATTGCGACAGGTATTTTTGTAGATTACGACGGTTAAAACCGTCGCAATTTGCTTTCCACGACGGTTGCTTTACCGTCGCAGAAGTGTGTGTCCCCAACCTATTTCGCGACGGTTACAAAAACTGTCGTTCAAGTTTACGACGGGATGATACCGTCGTGACTATCTTTTGAGTTTCTTTTAATTATTGATGGCGATGGTTCGATACTGTCGTGAATATCTTTTGAAATTGATTAAATTGTTTATGGCGACGGTTCGGTACTGTCGCCATGACTTTTGTTTATGTCTTGATTTTTTTTTATTTTTCTATTATATATATTTTTTATTTAAATTATTATCTATGTAAAAAATTTTAAATATAATTTTTTTTTGTGTTCTTTTTTTCTTTAAATTATTTCTTCTTTAATATATTTATTTATAGTATTATTTTTTGTTTTATTTTCTATCACTTTGTAATATAGTAAAAATAATTTCAATAAAAAATATTTAACATCAAATAAGCATTATAATATCCAAAAAAATGTGTGTTCCATAATCATGTAAAATGCGAGTTCCATAATCATGTCAAGTAGTACAAAAAACCCAAAATATATCAATTCCTAATCTTATAATAATAAGTATCATTATGCCAAAAATACATGAGAAAGTTCACAATCTAATTATCTCGATCATAGCAAAGTCTAATTTGTCCCCCCTGAAGTTCCATTATCTCCAATACGGTAGCTAGACTCAGATGAACGTCTACCATCAGCGGGTGATTCCAATCCCTAAAAAAAGGTATTAAAATAATAATCTTTAAAATAATACTCATAAAATTTAACTTTAAATGCGTCAAATTAATATATCTGTCTTCCATTGGAATAGAGTTAGCAGTACCTCATGTAAAGGAAGGTTCAACCCAAGTTCAGACGAAGTTGATCGCAAATTGGCAAATCGTCGTAAATCCCTTTCGGCTATACATGGAAGGATATATCCATCTATTTCATGAACCAACAATCAGCATTTCAAACAACTTCCAAATTTTCATCCAAGAGGTAGCATATACCAATTCTTGACTAAGACTAATGACATGACTCGGAGCACAAATTCTTGAGTTACAAGAATAAGCATTTGAAATTAGATAAAGTACCTGTTCTCTCCGAAGGCCATTCGAAGTATACAGCGCATATATGATGGAGCTTAGTACGTTGAAATGGATACTGAGAATGAGCCCTACAGAAATTTTTGCAAATTCTTATTTTAAGTGCGTATCTAATTAGTAACCAGATTCAGAACTATAGCAGATAAACTTTACCATTAACATATAGCTTTCGTAGGTTCTGATTAGTATATTCTAAATTCCAATCAATATTGAGTATAGTAAAGGAACTGGAAGCAATGAATTAAATAACATACTTGAGCACAAAGTCTGAATCAGCTGAGTGGCATTTTGGCTTCAAATAAGCATCAATCACTTGTAAAATGGTATCGTCCTTTCCTATATTATTTTTAGCTCCTGCATAAAGAAAAAAGATAGAAAAAATGATTAAAAAAAGTTGCAAAATGGAACTAAAATGCAATATAGATATGACAAGGGTATATATACCTTTTCTTTTTTTCACCCATCCAAGTCCTTCAGAAGCAAATTTTTTTAGAACATCTTTCTCCCCAATTGATTTTACTATCTGACAAGCTAACTCCTACAATACAACCATGGAAACAATCATGCAAAAGCACAAGCAACCATATAATATGTAAATATTCAACCCTGCTAAACAACAAGAGGTGAAAAGGCAAAAAGTAATATGATCATGAAGGATGTGTTTAAGGACTTACCGAACCTAAACCATGAACTCCTTGATGATAGTCACTGCCGAGAAGCAAAGAGAGAGCAATCTGAAGATCATGGGTTACTCGGTTACTGATTTTCACCAGAACAAGAACTCAATACCCTTGAATTTTGAATTGACAAGAAACAACGAAAGATCGTCTAAGAAAGCATTGTGACTCTTATGTTAAAACATCAATCAGAAATTTACCAATGAATCCCGTCCCAATCCAAGTTTATTTTCAATCTCTGCCATCTCATAACATACAACATATCCACCATCTCCTAACTCATTAATAAAAAAAAATTCTTGTAAGTCATATGAAAGTACAAAAAAATCCTTAGAACTTATACGAAAAATACAATTAGCACAAAAATATATTCAACAATAATATTTAAAAACGAAACCAAATGATATACTCACCAAGGCAGATTTCCCTGTACACTGTCCTTGCACCAAAGAGAAATATATCTGAATCTGAACTGAAACATCCATCCTATAATTCTCAACAATGAATGACAACAATCATGATATTAGCAAACAGCAATAGTACTAGTATCCCAAAAATAACTGATAATTACAAAGTAGACAAGTGCTTACGCATAATGATTCAGAGTTCAACAAAGCACACTGTGCTTCAGCTTCTTCAATCCTGCATTTTCGAAAAAGAGCAAGATGCTATCAGTTCAAATTGGTTAACAGTTATCTATTTAACAGGCCCGGTCTACATTGTGCCATTATATTTCCTTGAAATCGCTTGAATAGATGTATTACACTACACAGGGTTTCAGCAATAAAGCAGATATGTAAATATTTTCAATTTCAACTGACTCCTTACTTACGTGCAGATAGAGAACCGGGTGAATTGCCAAAACCTTGGTTAAAAGGAGCTCCATTTTGAGTAGGCTCTAATACCGTATTAGATTTTTATATTGGACCCAACTCATACAAACGTGTCTGACAATTACTTTAAAAAAATAGTTTTTTTTTCTTTTCTTCAACACACCTTATACTCTGTTGGAACAAACCTACACACATCTAAAAAAAGTTAAACATGTATTGAAGCAATGTTATCAATGAAGAATTAAAGACATTAATCTTGATTAGAATATTTTTAACTCTTAATAATAGATGGATAAATTAAGCTCAAATAATATCATATATGTAGCGGTGTCAGTGTCCTATGTTTTTTACATTAACAGTATCGGAGTGTCTGTGTCGTGTCCAAGTGTTCATGTCGGAGTCCGTGCTTCATGGGATTTAATACTTACATGTGTTCATATGTTATAATCTTGACATGAAAATCCTCCATAACCTTGAGTACTGTGGGACTTGTCTCAGAAAAGAATAGCTCCAAATTCATTTTCTTAAAATCTGGAACATTTTTTTCAAGTTGCGCCACCTAGAAATTGAAAACACAGTTATTAATGTAAAAAGAGTAAATTACTTATTTTTAAACCAAAAATTAGTTGTCCATTCAAGTAGAGAAAGGGTTGCATCAATGTTATACTTCATATTGAATAAGTGCCTCCAGGGCTGCAATTTTTGTTTTTTCCCACTTTGTGCCATGGCTAGAGGTAACTAAATCCCAAAGATTTAACAGCACACTCTTTGATGCTTCTGGATATGCTTCTGCGTCCATTGCACCCCACCTTAGCAGAAGGCAAGTGCTGCCATAAGACAGGAAGTGACTTTTATTCAGGATAATAAATGAATATTTGGAAACATATATTAATCAAGGGGAGAAAACAATTCCATCGAAGTCTGATACAGACGTAAAGTTCATTACCTAAAAGAAGTTCTATAAAAAAACCCAAAAATTTTAAAAACCAAATGAAGGACAAAAGCCCAAGATTTTAAACTTCAAATGTTTTAGGCACTAAACCATGCCTTCTATTCTTCTGGATAAAATTAAACCACCGTCGATGTTATAGTTAGTCTCACAATATATGCCTGATTAGAGCCTTAGACATGCTTACCTATGTGCAATAATAGGATCACCTTTATAACCTTGCACGTGCTTTGCAATGACATCCCATGCAGTGTAAAAATCTAGACACATGATACAGTATTCCCTTTTAGAAGGCTTACATTTTACATTAAAAAAGTAAAATAAAAGTAGGCAATCTACTATGAAGACTTCATGAATAAGTAAACATTCCTTAATATGTTATTATTTTGTTATATATATTTTGATAGTGACATCCATTACCAATCACATCTGCTTCACAAAGGTGGACAAGGCTTTGCAAGCCGAGAGCTTTAACTATAGGATCTTGACACTCAATGCAAGACTGTTTTTATTCAATACAAACAAGTATTTCTTAGGAAAAAAACACATGCACTGGAAAGGGAGAAAAAAGAAAAGCGCCAGGCATACCGAAACAGTCAAGATAAGATCAACACCCCTATCAGGGCTTTTATGGCAAACATCTCGGATTGAAGTAGCCAAACTGATACAGATAGCTCTGTCTGATGTGAAATCAGTGAAACCTTTTGGAAGCAAGACACCCTAGACATGGAGAAAATATAATAAATTTAGGAAAAGTTTGATATGGTAAGACCTTGAAGAAACAGCAAGAAACCGTATTAAAGAGTAAACAAAATTGGTAACTCAACAGCAAAAGGCTTTGAAATAGGCAGCCCAGAAAGAAAATACAGGAAAACCAAAAGTTATCAGATTGCAAGTAAAACTAGTAAATTTGGGCAAAACTTTTTATGACCCTGCACTAGTCAACAATACAGTATACTGGTGTGGAAAAAGTGAAAATTTGTTGTCAGAATGGAATGCTGCTACTGCGTCAATGTGTTCAACCTTCCTTAAAGATAATTTTTAACAAACATTCACAGCTTTTGATTCATCGTGTGAACAATTCCATTTCTTTTTTCAGTTGTCATTTAAATAGTCTCATCTTCTGCAAAAAATAAACATAAATATGCATATAGAATACACCCATAGTAATATGTGGTGGCGTGAGAAGTACAAGAAAGTGTGGAATAAAAAGCTCACTTGTAAACTTCCAAAGGCTCTATCATTGATCTCCCAAGTTCGACACAGCAATCGAGTTCCCGTAGCATACAATGAGCTGCATTTTGGGAGAAACATTTAAAGAAGAAATGAATTGGTTTCAATATTTTAAAGGATACATGAGGACCAAATTTGAGTTCTACAGCCAGAATAAAAAATGAGAACCAAAATGAATTCTCTATCTTAAAACCAAACATCATCTTATTAATGAAGTGAAAAGAAACATTCAGCTGTACAGTCATATTTAGAGTTCCAAATTTCAAAGAGCACTTTTTTATGGCATATGAGCACAGCTACAGATAGAACAAATCACTCGCAAAGAATATGTAAAACCAGTAACACTTCTGAAAATAATCGATAAGAATAGCAATTATGCACAAAATTTGGCCTTTATTAACACTGATGCTTAATTTCAGAATTTTTAAAAAAGGGACCTCAATGGTACAACATGGTTGAAAACAAAAACAAGATACGCAAGGCAACACTAATACAAAAAAAAATTTAAAAAAAAAATATTATACCAAATAAAATACACAATCTAACAGAGTACCCACCCTTTTGCATCTCTGTTAAGCATTGGCAAGATTGTTTGAACTACAAGTGGAGTCATTGCTGAGTGTGAAGCAAGTGATGGCAGCATTTCAAAGATTTTTAGCTGCAACAAGATTTAAAAATAAGGTACGGAAAAAAATTATACAGACATAACAATTGACAGAGACAACAGAACAAGATAATGCCACACAATAAGTGCCATTGCAAAAGGGAGGACTTACCAGCATATCATGGCAAATGATATCATTTCTTGTGAATATATTACTGTAGAACATAATTGCTAGCAACAAAGGAACTCCTAGTTTGGGATCCATAATGGCAATGGAAGACAGCGAGTCAACAGCAGCAGCCCCCATCGATGGATGTATCAACAAAACACTGAGAACAGCACTGAGTAAGGGTGTCTCTGCAAGGGAAGACATTGAGCTAATATTAATCTCTTACATCATTACATCATTTAACACAACTATGCTAACTAACGCCATTTCCAAAAGCTAAAGGGTTATACCGGTTAAGAATAATTCTTGAGGAAGCAAGAGAGGCGATGTAGATTTCCGACGCTCAACAATTGACAAACAGAACCCTCTTAGATGAAAAGCCCATGATATTGGTTTATCATGCATTACTTCATTTTCATGCGTGCCCTTTAAAGCCAGATTCAGAAGGGAAATTCTGGAAGAAGATTCTCCATCCTGAAACAACATAAGCATAAAATTTCTAAACTAAAATTATTGCTGGGTGCAAAACTATAATTAGTATTGATTCTCAATAATTGGATGCCCTCTTTGTAAGCACAAAACATGCAAATTTGCATATAATCATATGTTCATTCAGAGCAACAGCATACTAATGCTTCCATCCAGAACAGAAATAAATATCATTTGTTGAGATAATCTACATAGTATTTTAAACAGGAAAAATCTGATATGCCAGACAAAATACCTGATACCACAGATGTCGCAAAAGTCTCAACACTATAATTCCAGGTGTGCTAAGATAATGAGTTTCCTCATCAATGATTGGTTTATGTCTTACGGCCACCAGCATCTTGAGAAGGAGCTTCTCCAAGATGAGAAGCAAATCAGTAGCCAGTGCTTTCACATATTTAGAAGGAGATGACATGAGGCTGACAAAGGGAAGTAGAAACAAAACCTCTTCAAATGGAGAAGACGTATTTGTGGCAATAGCATCATCTGCATAGACAATTATTACAATAAATAAATAAAATGATGAGATTGAGGGTGAGCTTCAAAGGAGCATAAGTACATGGATCATTTTATGAATTTAAGCATGAGAAAATTAGGGCACAAATAAATGTTGCAATAGAAGATAGTTTTGTGTCCAAACTATATAAGGTATTCAGAGTCCTTAAAGACAGTTTGTATGAAATTATGAAATATGAATCCCAGGGGTAGATTACTTAGGACTCAGGAAAATTTGAAAATTTTAAGTGTTTTCATTTCAGTAAAAGAAATCCATGCTTTTGTCCACATGAGTTCAATTTTAACGATTGCATAAACCCTAAAACTGGCATAGCTATAATAAAAATTCACCCTTATCGTATTTCCACTTCAGGATTAAGAGGAGGAGTTTAGATATAGAAATTTGTTCATGCTCAAGTTCTGATTGAACAAGGATTGTAAATAATGACGCCATAATCGTTGACAGACCAGGCTCCCATTGCAAACCGAGATCTTTCTGAACAGAACACAATCGCCTTGAGAGTTCAATTATGGGCTCATAACCACCAGAGTGCCACTGAAGACACGTCAACAGAGACAGAACTGTTCCCAGGAATTCAACAGCATGTAGTTGAACCTCGGCAATCAGCTATTAACAAGGATCAAGATCAATACAAGAGAAAGGCATAAATTACATTAATAATAATCAAGGAAACTAAATTATGACAACAGTGAATACAAATGTGAACATTAAATTACAAGGACGATACATACCAATTTCTCTCCGGCCAGAGACTTAAGTACCACTATATACGCCTCCACCATATGTTCTACAACAAATACTAATTTCCTATAGTCCTGAGGAGTCCCAAAAAGAATACAGCTATAAGATAATTATATCATTTCACCTACTACAGTAACAAAATGTAATGACCAGAAAAATGTGTAATTTAACCAATATTTCTGATGCTCCTTCTCAATATTAATAAACTTACTTCAGAGGTCTCATGTGGAAGATACTTAAGGCACTCCGTTAGCAGCATAAGAACAGGCATGGACTCACTCGGACACGAGCAACAGAATGATGCCATAGACGATACCAATTGCAATCCAAATGAAGAAGAGGGTGACTCAGAACCTAACAATCTTATGATCGAAAAATCCAGCAAGGGCTTTAAAAACTCACAAACTTGTACCATACCCAGATGCTTATTCTGTAACATAAACAGCAACACTTGTTGCAGGAGTTCAGACTGAACTTCCACCCGACAGGACAACATCTGTCAAACATCAAGACACAACAGTTAAATTAATAGTTCAATAACCATACTCAGAAAAAAAAACTTGCTTCTGAAACTAAATTTACTTTTCCAAACGGACTCAAATAATTCACCAAACATATCACAAAAACTCAATTTCTGTGGTCAGAGTATGGAAAATCAAACATGCTCTCAGTTTGCTTGCACACCAAGGTTCAATTGTTCAATAAGTCATTTCTTGGTATGCTTTCATGTAAATTAAAAACACCTTCACAAACTTTCACTCATACATTATATAGCACCGACACTTCAGATGAAAGGCGTGTCTGGCATTTCACGAATATCATTTGGAATACTTCTATTTTCAGTGTTTCATTTCACATTACATTCTGTTATGATGCAGTAGCATCTATGTATAGGCACAGCTAACCATAACTAACTCTCTTATGTCAGTTACAACAGCTGGCTACAGCTGGCAAGCTTAACTCTAGCACATGTCTAAAAGCTAACTAATGCAATAACCAACTGACTAATCTAACAAGAGTGATTCCAGACGCATAAAATTATAACTACAATATAGACCAATTTCATTATATGAGTAGTTGCTTTTAGTTGTGTTTGCCTAAGGTAGTAGGTTTGGAAAAGGTAACAGGAGAAAGGAACTTTAATTCCACATACTCAAGAAAGGTATTATTGTTTAGCAATTTGAAATTCAAACACAAACATTAACTACAAAAAAAAAGTATATATGAATCTTGGGATTGCCTATGAATATTGACATTGGAATATCAAAAATATTTCTTTCCATTAAATGAATGGTGGTCTAAATGTTGTGATGAAACCTTCCTTCAAATAAAATACCAAACTTCAAGCTTTTATTTTTCCTTTGTCTTCAACTACCACCAAAACAACAATTCAACACGATCAATTTAGGATTCAACAAGTCCTTGAAGTATCACACAATATTTAAAAGAGACAATATCTTGTAAACACAATACCGACTTTAAGGATTCAACGAAGTCCTTGAGATCTCAGGTCTGCTGTCTTACTCTCCACCATTGTTCTTCCATCCTGAGGAAATCAAAGAAGTTACATTGAAGATATATAACAATCATCGATGCGCACTATCAAACACATGAAATTCAGATAAACACATCATAAGCCTTCTCACTGATGTTGTTTCCTGACTATTTGAAGAAGAAATGCTAGCAAAAGTATGCACAGTGACCTTCCCCTGCACTGAATTCCGAGCATGTATTACTTATGAATGCCTCTTCAGACATGAGTGCAAAACATTGAAATACATTCAATTTGCATGGAAATTTTCATTATAACTATGTCGATTCAACTTTAATTTCAATATAATTACATACATTTCATTCAAGTACATCATAACCTAATAACCCTATTTCTGGTAAGCAAAAATCATATTCATAAGATTACCAGATTTTAGATTTTGGTGAGATTTAGAAGCAGCCCTGGTGACATGAGAGGATGAAGAGTTAGCAGAAACGCGAAAAGTACCAAAAGCGAAAGGCTTTCTTCTTGTGAAGACGTTTTTTGAGGAGGAATGTCCCAGAAGCAGAGGTTTAGGGGAAGAAACAAGGGCTAAGTTAAGATTCTCCATTTCGAAGGTATGAAAACCGAAAATTGACGAAACTGAGAAATTGGTGGTGGTTGTGAGATGAGGAAGCGAAAGAGGTTTGAAAATTTTGGAGGAACTGAAGATAGTTGAGAGTGGTCTGTGGCGGAATGAGAGTTTGGGTTTCGGGTTCCTTGTTTGCGGTAGGGATAAGTGAAAAATAGCAATTTATGATTTGGAACTTGGATTGCTAGAGAATATACTAGCAAATAAAATGCAAGGTAAAAAAGTTTTTTAAAATGGGAAAAATGAAACACTGGTCTTTTAAAAATATAAAAAGAAAAACCAAAATCTATTTATCAAAAAACTCCATAAAAGTCCATGTGAGTTACCTCACTTGGATGGGATATTCCTAGATCTTAGTAAATATGAGTGGTTAGGGTGGCTCACGGTGGTAATAAACTTTATTTAGTGATATTTATAATGTTTACGGAGTAGAAAATGAATTGATGTTTTATGTATTTTAAGAGCTTTTTAACTTTTTTACGGCGACGGGTGTTTTACCGTCGTACCCATGAGAATTTTTAAAGGTTTTGGGTGCGACGGTTGTTTTACCATCGTGAAATGAATTTTAGGACGGATAATTTTACCGTCGTGAAAGGTTTAAGGGTGCGACGGGTGCTTTACCGTCGTGATATGCCTTTTAGGACGGTTAATTTTACCGTCGTGACTAGTTGTTGGTGAAAAATCAATGTTAAAAGTGTTAAATGGGGGCCGACGGTTGTTTTACCGTCGTAATAATAATATTATGATGGTTAAATATACCGTCGCAAAATAAATATTAGGGACGGTTGGTGTCAACTGTCGTAAACACTGTCTCTATATGTCAATTACGACAGTTATCACATAACTGTCGCAATTTTTGTGTCGTTAAACACTAATTTTCTTATAGTGGAATATTGTCAAGAAGTTTGGGATGGAGAATGCCAGTCATAAAAGGACTTCTGCACCTACTCATTTAAAGTTGTCCAAAGACACAAGTGGAACAAATGTGGATCAAAGCTTGTACAGAAGCATGATAGGAAGTCTTCTATACTTAACAGCCAGTAGACCTGACATTGCCTTTGCAGTTGGAGTATGTGCAAGATACCAGGCTGAACCCAAAGTAAGTCACATCAACCAGGTGAAAAGAATTCCGAAGTATGTGAGTGGAACTTACAATTATGGCATGTTGTACTCTCATGGATGTGAACCAATTCTGTCTGGTTATTGTGATGCTGATTGGGCTGGTAGTGCTGATGATAGAAAGAGCACCTCTGGAGGATGCTTCTTTTTGGGAAATAATCTTGTCTCTTGGTTCAGAAAGAAACAAAACTGTGTGTCTCTATCTATTGCTGAAGCTGAATACATAGCAGCTGGTAGTAGCTGTTCTCAAATGATCTGGATGAAACAGATGCTGACTGAGTATAATGTCACACAAGATGTCATGACATTGTACTGTGACAATTTGAGTACTATTAACATATCCAAGAATCCTATACAACACAGCAGGACTAAGCATATTGACATTAGACATCACTTCATCATAGATCTTGTGGAGGAGAAGGTGATTAAGCTGGAACATGTTGCCACTGAACTACAACTGGCTGACATTTTTACCAAGGCACTTGATGCTAGTCAGTTTGAGAATTTAAGGGGCAAGCTGGGTATTTGCCAATATGAAGAGATGTAGCGATTAATTTTGCTTAATACAAGGGTTGAAAGAGATATGTTAATCAAGTCTATTCTGATTAGGCTAATCATTTGTTTCCCTCTTTCTTTCCAAAAGTTTAAGAAGAGGAATAGATATATTTATATCTCCCTCTTCTCATTTTGCTGCATCACTCTCCATTCCCTCAAAAGAAGATTTCACACACGCTGTCACTTGTTTTCTCAATCTCTCAAGATGTCTCAACAATCTGTGTCATCATCTTCATCAAAGGCAACTGCATCTTCCTCACCCACTGACACCGAACCTAGGGCAATCGTAAACTCCATGGATGCTGATATTCTTGAGGTAACTCCACTTCGTGAAATGGCATTTGATCCTACTAAGGTCAAGAAGCTACGAACCAAACATGCAAGAAGATCACAAGATTCTCCCTCTGGTAAATCTTCTCAACCATCACCCTCTGTTCCTCCAGAGATCGCTAATAGGGAAGGTTCTGCTTATGTGCATCAAGCTATTGCCAGACTAGTCACTAGGATTCTTAATGAGAATCACCGTGTTCCTGGTATATCTGTACCATTGAACCAAGAAACTTCTAGCCCTAATTTAGAAAGTGATCCCAATGTCACTCAGAATGTTGAGACACCTGATGACAACATTGAGAAATCTCCAGAGAAACCTGATGATCACCAGACCCCTACTGACAAGGCTGTTGAACCTCCTGTCATTGATGTTGATGAAGAATTTTCTGACAATGATTTAATTGCTAATATCAACCCTAGCATAGCTAGAAGGATGATGAGTAGAAAAGAAAAGCAGAGTGTTGCCCAAAGCCCCTCCAAAGAGAAGGCTACTGAAGTTGTTCATGAGAAAGCTAGGCCTGAGAACAAGGCTAGAGAAGAAGCTGAGAAGGATCAAAAAGCTGGAACTTCGAAAGGGAAAGGTAAGGTAAAAGCTAGGGTATCTGTTGGTAGTCTCTCAAAACCCTTGAGACAACCTATAGCCAAGAAAAGAAAGGATCCTGAACCCTCTGAATCTGATGAGGAATCAGACTTTGATTTTGATGTTGAGAGCAATGTTCCAGACATTCCTCTCAGGAAGAAACCCTCTTCTAGTAAACTGCCTAAGGTTCCTGAAGTTGCCATTGACAACATCTCCTTTCACCATCCAGAAAATGCAAGCAGGTGGAAGTATGTGTTTCTGAAAAGGATTGCCTTAGAGAGGGAGCTGAACAGAAGTGCTATTGAGTGTAAGGAAGTCATGGATCTCATCAAGGTTGCTGGCCTGATGAAAACAGTGGTCAAGTTTTCCAACTGCTATGAGATTCTTGTCAAAGAATTCATAGTAAATTTGTCTGGTGGTTGTGCTGATGGAAAGTCAGCTGATTTTAAGAGGGTTTATGTGAGAGGAAGGAAGGTAAATTTCTCTCCTACTATGATAAACAAATACCTAGGAAGGCCTGATGATGCTCAACCTGAGCTTGAAGTTACTGACAACCAGGTTTGTCAAACCATCACTGCCAAGCAAGTCAAGCACTGGCCCTTGAAAGGGAAGCTAACTGCAAGCAAGCTGAGTATGAAGTTCGCCATACTGCACAAAATTGGTGCAGCTAACTGGGTTCCCACCAACCACAAATCCACCATCTCACTGGTTTGGGAAGATTTATCTATGCTGTTGGAACCAGAACAAACTTTGATTATGGCAACTACATCTTTGATCAAACAATGAAACATGCTGAGAGTTGTGCTATTAAAGGCCCTATTGCTTTTCCCTCTCTCCTGTGTGGTATAATCATTGATCAGTATCCTGATATTCTGGTTGAAAAGGACTCTGTGTGCAAAAGAGCTCCTGCACTTGGTTTTCACTATAAGTTGTTTCAGGGAACACATGTCCCTGACATTGTTATGACATCTGCTGAGACATCAAATGTCAAAGCTCATTCTGAGAAAGCTGATGTTATAGTTGTTCTAAAAGAAACCTGCAGAGAGCTTGATGCAAGAAAAAGGACTCTTGAAGAGGTGATTACTAGTCTTGAACAGGAGGAGAATGAAGAACAAATGAGGGAAGAAGATGCTGATGAAGAACAACATGATGGTTCCGCAAGAAGCTCACCAGAAGATGCTGCTGAAAATAGTGCTTCCTCGGGGGATGACAGTACCTAAAGGTCTGAGTTTGCTGCGATGTAAAGATTGATGTTGGAACTTGCTGCTGCTCTGATACCTTCTCTCTGTTTCTGTGTATTTTGGATTTCCTTTTGATGACTGTATAACTTGAAGTACTAAATCCTTTGGCCTCTTTATGGCTAAAAAGGGGGAGAAGTAATTGTGGTAATTTTGGTAGAATTGGATATTGGTAGCTGTTATTAAAAATTATGCTGCATTCTAATCTCTAATTGTTTAGGGGTTTTAGCCAAAAAAAATTCCAAAGGGGGAGTTAGTAAGTGTTTGCTTGTTGGCATTAATTTTTGGTAAAACCAGATTTACGAATGTCATGACTGATGTCATAACATTCTGGGATAAAGTCAAATTCTGCAGAAGGAATGTTCTACAGGAACAACTCAGTATGAGTGAATATCATGATGATTAAGCTATGATCATATATACTGAATTCTACCAAAATCAGTGAGCAAGATACATGATGTCATAACCAATGTTAATACATCTTGTACTGATCAAGTTGTTGTGCAGATTTATTGTTCCAGAGATTTTTCAGGAATCTGGTGTGCTATTCTGAGTTGAAGTATATTGACTAGATCAGACGCTCACGTGGATATTTAGGTTAACCTTGCTTAACCCTAATCTGTTATGATGAAAGCCCAAGACCAAGTCTTTAGGTTAACTTTGGTTAACCCTAGCTATTTTTATGGAAGCCCAAAAATGAAGAATAGACTGCATATATATTTCTCACGAAGCCTAATGGTGAGCAGCGCTTGGAGAGAAGATCAATAAGGCATTGTATAGTTGTGATAGTTTTAGTAACTACTGTGAGCCAATAAATTATCACTTGATAAGTGACTTGGAGTAGGATTTGGTTGTAAGGGTTGTTTATCACTCAAAGCTTTGAAGCACGAGTGTTGTGTCTCTTGATTAAAGCTTTGAAGCAAAATTAAGCGTGTGTATTGAAGAATGTCTTCATAATCTTATTAATCAGTAGATTAGTATCACTGTTGTGATTAAGGGGGAGTGAGTAGGAACTCAGGTTTAAGTAGGACTTAGATTCAAGTTGCATTGGGTAGGTCTTAAGTGAAGGAGATAAACCAGTTGGTTTTGTAGGTGTTTAGGTATTGGCTTGTATTTTTGGTAAATTCCAAGTGTATGTGTGAATGTCATGACTGATG